TTTAGTATCAAGGACTCAATACTATTACAGCCGCTTCACTTTAGCATATCTACCTCACTAACAAACATTTGCCAGGTAAGAGCTTTTCTTTGTGCCTGTTATTCTGATCAAACCAATCCCGATACTTCTTATCAGTAAATCCAACAATATTAGTACATGCCTCGTACACTACCTCCTTGAAAAAAGTTCAGTTATTTTCACTTACTAAAGCATCCATCTTATTGACTAGATTCTGTCTAACCTCATGTCCTGGGTAAGACAATAAACTACAGCTGACAGCAAGGCCTCTGATCAGGAGGTTTTGAGAAGCGTGGAACCACCTCTTAATTGCTGCTGTTCCCAGGTCCACCCTGACCCGGGTGGTAGCACCTGTTAGGGTTCCAGCTATGGGTAAATAGTTACCCCCCTCCCCTAAACTGGAGTCAAGTGGAACATGGCACTGGGCTGGTGTTTGAGGGTGCATGTAAACCACTGGGAGAGATGTCCTCCTTAGACTTAGTCAAGGCAAACATCTAGGAGAAGGAAAACTCTGAGATAACCCCTGCAGCTTTTGATGGTATCCAATGATGTTGACTTGCTCTTCTTTTTGGTGAATATAATCTTACAAATAATTTATCTATATATATATATATATTGGTTCAACAAGTTGAATGCATATGAAACATGACTAACCAATGAAAATTAAACGACACCAAAATTTAAATACCAACATATTTTTTTCCTTTTTTCTTCATATCTTATTCTTGGTCGAAGCTTTAATAAAAGTGAAATATGTTAGATTGATAAACATTTCCTATTTGTTCTTTATCATATCATATATGTACAGTGTGCAATTGATAAATTGTCATCTAAATTACACAAAAATGAAAATAACACTGACATCTTCTTTCAACAGATATATTTACCAAAATTATACAAAAATATCTTGAAATACTAAAGAGTAAACTTATTCAATAAAATCGTCATTGGCTTGAACCACGGCCTCCAAATGACTTTGGAATCTCCTGCATCTTTTCTGAACTGTCTCATTGTTTAAGTTGATGAATGCTGCCATAATACTTGCTTTCAGTTCATCTTTGGTCTTACACGAAGTTTTGTTGGTCTCTCACTCAACTGTACTCCATACATAATAATCAAAGGAGTTGCAGTCTGCAGAGTTAGGTGGCAAGATGTAAGGGGTGATGTGGTCACAGAAATTGTCTGACAGCAATGACAGGGTTCTCCTGTGTGGCATGGTGCAGATTCCTATTGCCAGATATAGGGTCTTCCGGAAGCCACCCTCTTAACACAGGGTAGTAATACCTCCTCAAAGCACTTGATGTAGGTTGTGTTGAGTTTGAGATCCTCACCAACAAATTCAGGAGTTCTTTTCCTATCAGAGTGAATATTTTTAGCTGTTGTACCTTCATAATTACCATTAGACTCAACCAACTCTTTCCAAATCCTCAGCACTGTCACCCAAATGCTCTGAAATGTTCATACTGGAGCTTCTGGCACAAATACCATGCAGTACACCATACCATTTCAAAATTTCTGGCAGAGTGAATTGCATCCCAGATGGTGCTCAACTGATCCTACTATATGTGCAAAAATCAAAAACATTGCATCATGTATGCGTAAACAAACATTTTATTATGCATTACATATATATGTATCTATCTATCTATGCATATATATATAAGTGTGTGTGTGTGTGTGTGTGCATGGTTAGAATGTTCGTTTTCTAACCATAAGATCCAGGTTCAAATCTCACCATGGTTGATTTGTCACTTCTTAGTGTCAACAGCCTGAGAAGGTGATCAAAGCATGCGGTACCAATGGGAAGTACCTGAAAATCATACCACAGGTTGAGACAAGCCTTGTGAGTGAAATTAGGTAGATGAATTTGTTTGAAAGCCATCAATAGTTGGGCTAGCATGAAGTCACAGGTCATCTTGACTGAGGATTGGAGCATAGTGGTGTTTTTTCAAACTGCAGATCATGACATATTATAGCTTTTTCCTGGAAAGTTTAAAACATAGTTGGGGCCCTGGCAGATGGGTGTACTTTGTGATGTAATGGAATATGCCTACACCTTTGTTCCCCCTCACTGTAATATGATTGGCTAGTGTCCATCATAAATACCAACGGACATCTAGGAGAGTCAAGAGCCTTAGTCTCATAAGCTAAGTCTATACTTGATGCCCATTGGACTACGCCATTGATCTACACTTTTACCTGTGACTACATACAAAATCAGACGATTACTTTTATTTTATTCTACTTGGTTATAGTAGCCAAAGCCAGTTAGCTACTTTTGTTCAAATATATCCATTTCGGGACATATCACTTTGAAAATGATAGTAACAAGCCATTATATATATATATATATATATATATATATATATATATATATATATATATATATATATAAAGATATGTTTTGTGGTTAAAAACTTTATGATTTGCCATAAAAAAAAAAAAAATTTTTTTTTATTACCACTCATGATGATAATAGATAAAAAGTAAAACTGAAAAATGAGCTAGCTAAATGGTTTCATACCTCACTCAACAGAGCTAAATTATCACTAAAAAATGGACAATATGTATTAGAGAAAAAAAAAGTATTGCTTAAATGGTTGGAAGCCTAGTACGAAGTCCTACTGTTTACACAGAGAGGGCTTCAATGATAAAATATAAATAGCCTCTAACACTTTCAAGTGGTAATTCGAGTGGGACTTGCTAAGAATGGTAACTGAAACTAGTAGCACAATTATGGCTATTTATTAGGTGTTCTGTGATGGAAGACCCATACGTATTGGTTAGATTGTCTGAAGGAGTGTACTTAAGATTGCAGAGTTTCATGGTTGCTTTATTCCAGCATCCAGCCTTTGAGTCGTTCTCCCTATATAGCACAAAACACAACTACATTTGAAGGAATAAAATAAAAAACTATTATGATGTGAAGGGAGAACATCCTTACGCATGGACAGAAGGACAGGCTTGGCAGAGAAAACCACACGAGTGTTAATGGCAAAGTAACAATGTTTTTTAAATTAAAATATATGCTTAGCATATCTATCACTGATATTACCCAGCCAAGGAAGGCATAGGTACACAGGACATCTTTGTACTAGAGCAGGTTTAACACAATTAATGCTGCTGGGTGTTGATCTCAATGCCCACTTTTATATTTACATATGGTCTATCTCTGATATTGAGTGCATTAAATATAGTATACCTTAAAACTATATTTTTATCATATATATATATATATATATATATATATAAGACAATTTGCATGAAAGGAAGAAAGACATATCCATAATTAAAATATTTGGTCCAATATTTTACCAGATACAACTCATAATCTATCAACCTCATTATTCATTAGTCCCAAATGAATTGACATGCTAAACTAATGCAGAAAATGTCAGAAAAAATGTCTTCTTTTTAACCTGAGTAAGTCATGAGTTAGCAGACTGCACACTCAAATGTCAGAACAACACATCACACAAACTGAATACACCCATGTAGAAATGAATCTTTCTACAAACAACAACATTAATGATAGCATTATAAGTGAAAATTGATAAACACATTTAGGTGAATATATAACTTAACATATAATTTATATTTGATATATAATCTTGTACATATATATATATATATATATATATATATAACTTTATTAAATATGTATCAGGGCAAATTTTTAAGTGCTTTATCTTAATTTCATGTATATACTATACACACGATAAAAATTATTTATACTGATATATAATTTCAAATCTAAACATATATATATATTATTCATTAGTAAATTATTAGTTTTTAATTGTATATTATATATGTATATATATATATATATATATATATATATATATATATATATATATATATATATATATAAATAACTTATAAATAGTTGAGATATAATTTTATAAGAATATGATTTTTATTTATAATCTTAATTTTTTTACTTCCATGTCTATAATATATATATCTGTATTTTTTAAATGTGGAAAATTTATAAATAAGATAATGCCTTAAATATACATATGTATGCATGTGCATTCATATATATATATATATATATATATATATATATATATATATGTATGTATGTATGTATGTATATATATATATATATATATATATATATATATATATAGATAGATAGATAGATAGATAGATAGATAGATAGATAGATAGATAGATAGATAGATGTATAAAGTGGCCATTGAATTAAACACCGAATGACGACAATCTGTTTCATGCAATTTTTCATATTTACTTTTTATTAAACATTTTTTATTTATATATGCATTATACCCATAAATATAGCAAACCTTAAAACTATATATATATTTGCTGAACAGAAAAATATATAATGTATCAGTTGATGTAAATTATATTTAATAATATAATTAATATATATTTTAAATTTAACTTTCAAATTAATTTTAAATATATGTATATGTCATTTGATATATAAAATGAATAATATATAGTGAACGTAATTATTATATATATATATATATATATATATATATATATATATATATATATATATATATTCATTTTTCTATATATGATTGGTTACTGAAAAGTTATTGATCTGACCAAAAACTCCTTTTAAAAAAATCTGATGTATATGTATTTAAAATGCAATATCTTATTATTGTAATAAATATCTGGCAAGCGTAATGAATTCAATCTTATTCAGGTGTCCTACTTCTGTAGCCTTGTACCAGCTTGAGCTAAGGTTAATAAATATTAGTGTGTATGTTGTTACCTGTTGTTATGTATATGTGTGTACCTACATGCATCTAATTTCTCTTTTGTTTTCTATTAAAATAGTAATAAAAGTAACTGAATAGTAAACAATACATAAAAATACTCTTAACTGTAATCTATCAACCAGATTCACAACTCAGCATCTATTTTTTTCTTTCTTTTTATATTAGTCCTTGTATAATTTTAAAAGTATTGACTGAAAACCTAGTTTGAAAACTCACCTCTTCTCTTGTCTCTTCTGGCAAATTGTCCTCGTCTGACATATTATTAGCAAAATTGTTTGTTGGCAATAATGTTGGACGAATAGCTAAAGTCCAGTCAAGTGGTGAGTACTTGCAATCAAGGAAAGCATAAACAGGAATAAAACTCCTCTAACACCGTTGAATGTAGTTCTGACTTTTTTCTTTTTTTTTTTATTTGGCTGGATAACAATTAGTCATGACGAAACATTGCTCAATTTTGTTCATACTGATATTTCCAGAAGATTGTTGCATTTTTATTTTGTGAAGATCAACTGGTCATTGAAATAACAGTCTGCCATAATTTGCAGAATGTTTGCTAAGAGAACAAGCATAAAGAAAAACTGATTCCTTTGAAGAGCTTTCAAGCATTTCATCCAGCCCTTAATCTGAACACAGATTTTCAACAAACACAAAGGTGTAGATGGCCTAATGGGTATGGGCACAGACTCCATCTGGGACAATTTACTTTTGCACCGTATTTTAGTACAGAATTTCTCACTTGTGGAACTCTCTTCTGGTATGTTACTTTCCAGTCAACATTGATCTTCAAAAATTTAAATTTAAATGAAATGTCAGTTGTTATCTTCTGTTTTCTTAATTCCAGTTCTTTCATTGTTATCTCTCCTTAATAATGTTTTCTTTTTCTCATCGTCTCACACATTCAGTAACCCTATTCTTGTGGCAAAAATGATTAAAAAAAAAATTAAGACAACTCCTTACCAAGAACTATTTCTTTATGGAACGGGTTCTTAAGAAGTTGCTTCCTCAAATACAAAAATTATGACCTCTTCAATTTAACTGTTACCTATATACAACAACCTCATTTAATAACCCTCTACCTTGAGTGGTTCTCAACCTTTTTTGGGGTGAACAACAGTGAAATAAAACTGCTTTGGTAAAAGTATGAACCCATTTTTTCTATATCTATGGGTAAAGAATCTAATAGTTGCAACCTTTCAGCCCGATAAGGTGGCCCAGTTTGAATTTCAGACTAACAACTCAGCTCTATAAAAATTCACTACAGCCAGGACCAGAATTCGGAGGTTTTTGAGCTAATAGGATTTGGGGGTCCCTTCATTACATGTGAAAATCACCACACCATCCAGATCTATAAAAAAAGATATATTTTTAGATGATGCTTTTTTGGTATAAAACATGAAACACTTCAACTAAAATGTTTAATGATTTTGGAACTCATCCAATTTATTTCCTTAGCAACTTCATGATATCGTTTATTGAAACTTTACATCCTACAGAAATGTATCTAGAATGAAAGGCCTGTATTACACTGAAAATCTGGTATTCAAATTCACTAGCAAAGCATCCTAAAAAAAAGTATTGAAAAGGAAAATTCTAACTTTCTACAGCCTTGCAATTCTAGATCACCACATCAAAACAAAATTAGGGGTCCCTTGGGTTGCAGCTCATATTAGAACATATGTAAATCTTGCACTGACTGAAGAAGTGTCACTTGAAGTGGTTATGGCCCTATGTTTTATCTGGAGTCTGCAAGAATAAAGCACAATTTGAATCAACATTATCAATATGTCATATGACCTCTCATCCAGAATGTACCAGTTTCATATTCACACAAACTTATTAGGTAGGTTATTTGCTCCTTCCTTCTGTCCCACCTTCATACAATATATCTTGTGAGTGTAAATTTTTTTTCCTGATAATGTCTCCCAGAAAATTCATCTGTTTATTTCTGATTTAAAATATAAGTGGTCTTACCAAATTACTATTGCTATCAAAATAAATCAGTTCTAAGACCATAATTGGCAAAGAATTCAAATTATTGAATTGTTTTAAAAATGAAAAGCTGTTATTTTGTATACAAGTTTTTTAAAACAATAATTTTAAATTATTCCAATTTTTATAAATGTTGCTTAATATTATATTCAGGTTATTTTTATCTAAAGGACTCTATCCTAAAATAACAATACCCAGCTTCATCTGAATAGACAGAAATGTATTAAAATAGCACATTATCATAAGAGGTTATTTTTATCGAAAGGCCCCTGCCTCAAAGTGATAACAATTAGCTGCCTCATTGATATAGATATAAATGTATTAAATTAACACATCATAAGGGCTTATTATTATCTAAGGGATCCTGTTAAAATTGACAAATAATAGGGTAGCTTCATCTAATATTTAGAGAAATGTATTAAAATAAGAAATTATCATGTGTGCTTATTTTTATCAAAAGGTCCCTATCCCAAAATGATAAAAATAAACAGCTTCATCTGTATAGACAGAAATGTATTGAAATAACACATTATCATAAGTGATTATTTTTATATAAAGGACCCTGTTCAACGTAATAACAATACCCAGCTTCATCTGAATAGTCATAAATAAATGAAAATAACAGATTATCATGTGTGGTTATTTTTATCTAAAGGACCTTGTCCCAAAATGATAAAAATAAACAGCTTCATCTGTATAGACAGAAATGTATTAAAATAACACATTATCATCATTTTGATTATTTTATATAAAGGACCCTTTTTCAATGTAGCCAGAATACCCTGCTTCATGTGAATAGTCATAAATAAATGAAAATTGTATATTATCAATGTGTTTTTTATTTTTATCAAAAAGGACCTTGTCCCAAAATGATCACAGTAAACAGCATCCTATATATAAAAAAAATTGGGAATTACACTTTCAACTATGAATCAAGTGATTGTAAAATTCCCTAAACATCAAAAGGAAACCATTTCCTCTCATTTAAGTTCTATGCCTTTATTTAGGAAATTTAACAAAAAAGAAATCAGTTTCAAAATGGCTGATGTGGTAAAGTTGATACAAGAACTTCATACAGTAACTTCATTACAGGAGTTACTGTGTCAAAGGAAACAGTAGAAAGACTAATTTTAACTCTTTGAGATACTTCTACTCTTCTACTTTGAAATACTCTGTGGTCTATTCATCAGGCTGGGGGCTAAACAAATTAGTGGGATATAATATAAACTTCTATGTTCCTGATGTATGAAGATAAAAAGTGGATATTCATAAATAACCCATTTCATGTAATGGCATAGAGTACCATCTTGTATAAAAATGATATTTTCTTATCTACGTGAACAGTATCATTCCTGAAAGGATAACATAGTTAAGTTGTATGAATTTTATGTGGTTAGAGTAGGAATGATTCAGTCATTTGATATTAACAAACATGCAGCCTACTTAGTGAAATGGTATCTTAGTCCTCTTCAAATTATTTCCCTTGAGACCTCACACTCTTATCCCAGCATGTCATTAATTGTTCAAAACAGTCTACAAAGTCTTTTTTTAATGATCACCATCAGTTGCTTTGTTACAATTGCCAAGGTGATCTAAAGCAATGTTTCTCAGCCTTATTCTGTTCATGGCCCCCTTCAATCCAATACAAGTTCTTTATGGCTCCACATGCCAACTTGAGTTCTTATCCCCCCTCCTCCTTCCCGCCCCATCCCTCAACTAGGGAAGTAGGAATATTAAAGTTGTTAGTTTGGATAGTACTATGGCATCAAAACACTAACTCCAGTTGTAAATTAAAGAATAATATTATTTGGATAAATATTTTATTTGAATAAACTCATTTATTTTCAAAACGAAAAATACATGTACCATCAGCTCTATCATGTATGGTTTCAATGGGCTGCCTAATTGTCAATGTTTAGCTTGAAAGCCATCAAAGAGAGATGTAAATCACCTCTTTTTTCTATGTCAAGGCAATTTTGAGTCTTTGACAGCAGATGCATCATACGACTGAAACCAGACTCAACCAAGTAAGATGTGGGAAAAGTGAATAAGAGCAACTTCACATCTTTCCAGAGTAGTTGGTAATTCTTATGCATGTTTTCATTTATCCACACTTGAACCTTGCTTGAGCTGCTGGGTTATTTTGAACTTCAATGAAACTTTCTTTTAGGGTGATATCACCTTCAGATGCATCAGTAATGAAGGGATTCACAAGCCAGTGTAGCATTGTCATTTGGAGTAGATCAGAGAAGCAAGTTTTCATATCATTATGCAACTGCTTCAATTGCTCATCAAGAAGCTCAGTGGATGTATTTGCTAAGGAAGGAAACTGTGCAAACACTCGTTTCCTAAGTTTCAACCAGAACAGCTTTAGTTTTCCATTAAATGTGTTAATTGCCTCCTTGCAGGAAAACAGTGTGGAGTCATTTCCTTGGAGCTCTTTGTTCAGGATATTTAGCTCTTCAAATATGTCAGACAGATAGAAGATATCACTCTTTGCATCAGCAAGTTTCTGTCCAAGTTCTGTTTCACTCAAGAAAGAAATAACTCTGTCCCAAAGTGCAACAAAACGATGCAGGCAATTACCTTTGGACAGCCACTTAATTCCAGTATGCAACACAAGTCGTTCAAATTCCTTACTGTTCTTTTCACATAACTGCTGAAAGAGGTGATCTTGCAGTGCATTCTTTTTTATTAAGTTGATAACCTTGATAACATGCATAAGTGCTACATGCAAACATCCTGCTAGGTGTTTACCACCTTAGGTGCTGACAAACTGTTATGATTGAAACACACTGATATTTGATAGTTAATAGGACTCTCCCACTGAATATAACCAGTTCCAAAATCAAAAAGGTCATTAATTCAGGATGAAACAGTAGTCGAATGACAGAGTTTTTGTTTTTCAAAATTAGTTTAACATTTCAACAAAGAAATTACTCTGCATTTAAAAAGTTTTAGTTTGTTCTAACGTTTTAACGTTGAACCTATTTAGGATTAAATTTATTACAAATCAAGCCTCCACTGCTTTTTAAGATGTCCACAACATAAACAAACTGCACAACATGATAGAAGCACAGGAACAGTTTTTTTAAATAAGCATTGAATCCTCAATATCTTCTTTGAAAATTAATCTGATCTGTTGAAAAAGAAAGCTACTATTTTTGAATGGAATGTTGTTCTCCTCAAGAAAGGTCTCAAGTTTTTTTTCAAGATCAACAAAAATTGTCAGTCATACAGATGGACGAAAGAGAGTTTTGATTATATCA